AACGTTTCGACGTAGTCGTCTTCTTCAGAGGCCTAAACGCGTTTCGAGTTAAACACTACCCCGTCAAGCGCGCAACCAACCAACAGCAGTATTAACGAATCATACAACAATGCCGAGGTTACAGCGAGAGAGAAGCTGGAGAATATTTGAAAACTGTCTAGTGTGTTCACCGAGGTGTGGGATTTGTTTGGAAAGTCGTGAATTCGAAATGGAAACTGTATATCTTACAGAAAATTGAAAAGATAATCACTGATTTTTCGATGTGAAAAAAATCGAATTAACGCAGGGATACCTTCAGTACGGCAGCTCGAAATTTGTGCAAGAAATTGATATCAGTGGCGTATTTCAGGTATGGGGACGATACTTGGTCGCACACCAGAATTACTGGCTCCGCAAACAGTTGATGGAATTGCTGGTGGAGAACGTATTCGTACTATGTCGTGTAGTGACAAGATCATGCGCTGGAATGTTCTTGGAGTTCAGGGAGAACTGCTGTCGCTACTGATTGATCCGGTATGTCTCTGGGTTTTTGCGATTTTTCTCGGAATTGACGAGGAAACAGCATTTCAGATCTACCTTGCCACGATATCCATCGCTGAAAAGGCTGACATAGCTCGCTTGGAGCGCGCTCTTTTCCGTCGTGTTGAAGGATTCAAACCGGTGGCACCATTCCGTGTGAACAAGCCTCACATTGCACACTGTCAGGTGAGTAAGAATGCTAAGCGTCTGAATAGTTGTCTCTCCTTTTCGAAACGTCCATTTTCTAGGCTGAAACAAATGTTCGTGATACAGCACCTGGTGCCCCGATAGCAGTCAACTGGAACATCGCAGACGATTCCATAGAGGTATCAGTTCAAGGCTCACGTTGGCTGTCCACTGATAGCAATCTTTTCAAATAAAATGCAATGGAAATTTTTACTTTAAGATCCTGAGACCAAGCAGTGGTCGTATAGAGAAAGATCCTCATGACGTTTCTCGCCTTTCCAAAAGTAATATGGCCATGCTTTTTAAGAAAGTGGGTTTTTTGTTTGTGTTGTACATCCCTTCATTCTGCCTCTCAAATAATGTTACCTCTAAAACATGAAATAAAAAATGAAAATTGTTCAGGTATGCAGTGATCTTGGAAAACCCAGTGCCGGCCAGGTTCC